CAGGGGTGGGGGCCTCGATGTCCCAAGGGGGGGTAGGGCGGCATTGGGGAACGGTTCCTCGAGGTCCCGAGGGGGGGATAGGTTGGTGTTGGGGCACAGCGCCTCGAGGTCCCGGGGGATTAGGGCTGCGTAGGGGCACAGAGCCTCGAGGTCCCGGGGGGTTAGGGCGGTGTAGGGGCACAGAGCCTCGAGGTCTCGGGGGCTATAATTACATGTTACTGCCAAAACATAATATGAAACTTCGGATGTTAATCAAATTACTAACATTCACAAACTTGCAAAAGCTACCGCTCAATTACGAACTAAAATAAAATAGTTCAACGGGGGGTTAGGGCGGCGTAGTGGCACAGAGCCTCGAGGTCCTGGGGGCTATAATTACATGTTACCGCCTAAACATAATACGAAACTTCAGATGTTAATCAAATTACTCACAAACTTGCAAAAGCTACCGCTCAATTACGAACTAAAACTAATACTAAAATCAAATAGTTCAACGAGACAATCTTGAACAGTTGCTTGATCCACCAATATCAACAAAATTCTCACCAAGTTTCTAACCAAGACTGATAATCACAAAGTCTGAAAAAGAAAAAAAAAGACAACCACCGGTTTAATAGACTATTATCGTAGTATTTTTACATTTAATGACAAAATGCTTTTGAAATCTAGATTGAATTCACTTTAATGATGAACATATTTAATTAAATAGGCTCCATAAATGCATAACATCCACCCTCAAATGAACACGGTAAGATGCAGGCACAAACAATCACTATATTAACAATTCCATTTTTATTAGCAACTAATCCATTTATAGTATCATCATGTCTCTTAATTTGACTCCAGACACTTCTAATTAGTAAATATGTATCAAGTGTTGAGCAAGTCTGCTTAACAATATGCAATATTTGGCCTCATATCCTTAATTCTTTTCTTGACAGAAGGCTTATACATTGAAAACCAAGTAAATAACTTAGACCAACTTGTAGCTAGAATGGCTTACCAAATGTCCAAATCCAAGTGCAAAAAAGGAAGAGTTTCAACTCCACATTAATCATCAAGAATGCTATTAGCCAAATCTATAGAGAATTTATGTTAATCAACCAAAAAAATGTTAATGACTATTTACAATAACAATTAAAACTATTATAATTAAAATATCCTTACCTTGTTCGAGCTGTTCAAGGACATCTATATCTTCCTCAACACTTATAGGTCGTGATTCACTTCTAATCCAATCTTGAAGGCACACTAGAGTTTTCACCAATTTAGGAGTTAATGAACTCTTAAATGAATCCAAGATGTGTCCATCAGTACTAAACGCACACTTGGATGCCACACTTGAAATAGGAATAGCTAACACATCACGAACCATCTCAGCAAGAATGGGAAATCTAGGTGAGTTTATTTTCCACCAAGACAAGATGTTGAAGTTCTTGCTTTCAACTTCATTTTCTTCAGCAAGATATTTTTGCAATTCTGTTTTGACAGTTGTTGTATTTTCAGCTTTATGTTTCATTAGATCACCCATGAATGTCCTTAAAGATCCTATCGATTGGACACTACTATCTGAACTTGAAAGCAATGAACTAGAATTTTCAAATGAAGAACTAGATAAAGATGAAGAGTGTTGACTACCTTTATCTTTTAGAAAGGGACTTTACATATTCACCAAACAACAATTCCATGTAGTCTCTAACTCCTTTCTCTAAAATTGGACCTTCTTTCCCAAACATCATTTGAAGTGCAAAGCCAACTGAAACAAACTTGTGACGAGGATCCAAAACGCAAGAAATAAAAATCATCTTGTTCATCTTCTTTGGAGTACCCCAATACTTATCAATTTTTTCTCTCATATTCGAACCAATTTTACCCAAAAGATCATCATTATCATCTTCACTCGATATCAATTGTTTCAAATAACAAGAAACCTCACAAATTTTAAGAAAATGTGAGTTTGTTATGACGTAGTGTGATCCAGATACTTCTCTGGTAAGATCATAAAAAAATTGAAGAAAATTAGCAATTTTTCTTACATTGTCCCAGTCATCACTCAAAAGGGCACCAACAACGCTTCCTTCTTCATCCTCAACAAACTGAAGGTAATGTAACAAGCCAATATCACGAGCAACATAACTGGAAAACGCATTTTCAAACTCAATAGCCCTATTTATCATCAAGTATGTGGAGTTCCATCTCGTAGAAACATCCAAACATAAAGATTTTTTACAATTAATATCAACATCTTCACAACATTCTTGGAACCTCTTACACCTCGCAGGAGACAGTCTTATGTATTTAACTGCTTTTCTAACCCGTTCAATAGACACAACAGACACCTTCAAACCATCTTGAACAATAAGATTTAGAATATGTGTCATACACCTCACATGGCAGTGTTCTCCATTCATGATATTGATCCCCCGTTTAGTGAATAATATAGACAACTCTTTCATAGTCACGTCATTCGAACTAGCATTATCGACTGTGATGGTAAATTTTTATCTACGCCCTAACCACGCAAACACTTAATAATCTCATTAGTCATATCTTCACCTTTATGGCTAGAAACTGGACATAAGTTGATTATCTTATTATGCATAATCCATTCATTATTGATCCAATGTGCAGTGATACACATATAATTAATCTGTTGCAAAGAGGTCCAAGGATCAGTTGTCAGACATACTCTTTGTCGTGCTACTTCGAAAAATCTCTTCAACTTTTGCTTCTCTTCATCAAAAAGTTTAAAACAATTACGTGTCACAGTGGTACGAGAAGGGATCTTAAAATGAGGTTGCGCTACTTTCATAAAGTTTCCAAAACCCTCCTTGTCGACAAACTTGAAAGGTAGTTCATCCACAATTACCATGCGGCATAAAACTCTCCTACATTGTTCTTGCTCAAATTTCCAGGAAACAACTTACATCACTCGTATTCCCTCCCTGAACAGATTGAAAGCCTATTTCAAATAAATCCATACCCTACATTCCCCTCTAGATTCATACGAATCATATATAATTAAAAAAAAATCTATTAAATAAATATAAATAATAAATTTCGAATGACTAATAAAACATTGACTCATTGAACTCATGAATATCACTATTTGTTCATTCTCACATATGATAACGTGATTCTCTAGTTCTAGACTTCTAGGCATTCCCATACTTGGCAAATTGAGGAATAAGTTAATAATTTGCTTTTGCTAGATAACTTCACCAACTACGTAAGTGGGTAAAGTTGGTTGCAAGTAATCTCAACTTTTTAATGCATTTGACTTTGTACCATTTTTAACTGAATCAGCAAAATAATCTTGACCACAATGCTTACACTTTGATTTCTTATTTCCTTCTTCATCAACAAATGATCCAAAATGATTCCATGCTCGAGACCTTTTTCTTTCTTTATTTTGTAACATTTGGCTGAACAGATTGTGTTTGACACATAACATTTGAATTAATACTTTCATCACCCAGGACCACCACCTCATCAGTGGAAATATTTTCAGCCATATATATGTCTCTATAAAATATGATTTAGACAATAATCACTAATCAGGCAGCAATAATGAATTAATATCAAGGTAAACTAAAGAGAAACTAAAGAGATATCTTAAAGGAGGTTTTCAACATTACTGAAAAAGAAAAAGAATTCTTAAGAAAAATAATCAAATGCTTACCAAATTTAACCTAAATTAGGGTGTTTGATTCTGGTCGGGTACATTATTTAAGAGCGAGATCATTTTTTTGAGGAATTGAGTATGGAGAGGTAAGAAAAGCATAGATTACAGAAGAAGAAAATTATACAAGGATAGATTAGAGAAGAGAAATTAGAAAAGAGTAGAAAATCTTCACCGTCGCCTAGCCCTTACTATCGTCGTTGTTGTGAACCCTCCTTGGAAACTTGTTGGTTGTTGCCGCCGCCATTGGCTTGTTCCTATCCCCAATTTTACGCTCTAGGTTTAGAGTAAAAACTAAAAAGTAAACACTAAGCGTCAAGCGATAAGTACTAACTACTAAGTAGGATATTGAAAATCTAATATAGAATCTAGTTATGTATTGAATTATTTATATTTAACATTTAGGAAGGGTAAAGTAGTAAATAACTATCGTCTTATTGAGTTATCGGTTTACCCAATAACCCAATAGGAAAAATCAAAATTGAACCAACAACCCAATAATTTTTTTTATAAACCCATTAAAAAAACCCAATAACCCAATAACATTTTATCGGTTCGATTTATTGGTCGGTTCAGTTTTTGCACACCCCTAGTCCTGGGAGGAGGGTGGTGGAGGCCTTGGAGAACGTAATAAGGTCTTTGTAAATGTGGAAATAGGCGTTGAAAAAATGGTGTGACTATACGCGGTGGTTCCCTCATTACGGAGGTCCTGATAAAGTTTTTTCAAAAAGAAATTGGGTGCTTCGAGGCGCCAGATATATGGGTAACACACAAAATATCGGGGAATTTGGGTAATTTCTAAAAACAGGCTTGTAAATGTGAAAATAGGCGTTAAAATATTAGTGTGAGTATACACAGTGGTTCCCCAACTCATTACGAAGGTCCTCAAAAAAAAATCATGGGTGCTCCAAGGCGACAGATCATGGGCTACTACACACCAAAAATTGGGAAATATGGTAGTTCCTAAAAAAAGGCTTGTAAATGCAGAAATAGGAGTTAAAAAAATGGTGTGAGTATACGCGGTGGTTCCTCAACTCATTATGGAGGTCCTCATAAAGTTTTTTTCAAAAAAGATATTTTAGTTTCTCAGAGGCGCCTGATCCATGGGATTATACACACAAAAAATTAGGAAATTTGGGTAATTCCATAAAACAGCTTGTAAATGCTAAAATAGACATTAAAAATGGTCTAAGTATACGCGGCGGTTCCCCAACTCATTACGGAGGTCCTCATAAAGTTTTTTTTTTAAAAAAATTGGTTGCTACGAGAGGCCAGATCCATGGGCTAATATTAACACACGAAAAATCGGGGAATTTGGGTAATTCTTAAAAGGGGCTTATAAATGCGGAAATAGGCGTTAAAAAATGGTGTGAGTATACGCGGTGGTTCTCCAACTCATTATGTAGTTCCTCATTAAGTTTTTTTTTAAAAAAACTTGGGTGCTCCGAGGAGCCAGATTTGTGGGCTAGTAAATGCAGAAAATTGGAAAATTTGAAAAATTCCTAAAAAAAGTTTGTAAATGCGGAAATAGGTGTTAGAAAATGGTGAGAGTATACGTGGTGGTTCCCCAACTCATTACGAAGGTCCTCATAAGGTTTTTTTTTAAAAAATATTTTGGGTGCTCCAAGACTCCTGATCCATGGGGTAATACACACGAAAAATCGGGAAATTTGGTTAATTCCTAAGAAATGACTTGTAAATGCAGAAATAGAGGTTAAAAATAGTGTGAGTGTACGCAGCGGTTCCCGAACTCATTACGGAGGTCCTCATAAAGTTTATTCAAAAAAAGTAATTAGGTGCTTCGAGACGTCATATCCATGGGCTTATACACATGAAAAATTGGGGAATTCTTAAAAAGGACTTGTAAACACAGAAATAGGCGTTAAAAAATGGATTGAGTATACTCGGTGGTTCTCTAACTCATTACGGAGTTCCTTATAAAAAATTTCAAAAAAATATTTTTGTGAGCTCCGAGGCGCCAGATCCATGAGCTAATACGCACGAAAAATTAGGGAATTTGGATAATTCCTAAAATGACCTTGTAAATGCGGAAATAAAAGTTAAAAAATGGTGTAAGTATACGCGGTGGTTTCCCAACTCAGTACAAAGGTCCTCATAAAAAAAATTTCAAAAAACAAGTTTGTTGCTCCGAGGGTCCAGATTCATGGGCTAATACAAATGAAAATTCGAAGAATTTTAGTAATTCTTAAAAAAGGCTTGTAAAATGTTGAAATAAACATTAAAATGGTGTGAATATATTACGTAGTTCCTCTTAAAGTTTTTTAAAAACGTAAAATTGGGGAATTTAGGTAAATCCTAAAAAATGGCTTGTAAATGCGGAAATAGGCGTTAAAAATAGTGTGAGTATACAGGGTGGTTGCCCAACTCATTAAAGAGTTCCTCATTAAGTTTTTAAAAAAAATATTTTTGGGTGCTCCGAAGCGCTAGATCAATTGTCTAATACACACGAAAAATTGGGGAATTTGAGTAATTTCTAAAAGGGGTTTGTAAATGCGGAAATAGACATTATAAAATGGTCTAAGTATACCCGGCGATTCCCTAACTCATTATGAAGGTCCTCATAAAGTTTTTTTAAAAAAAAAAATTTGTTGCTCCGAGGGGCTAGATCCATGGGTTAATACAAACGAAAAATTGAGAAATTTGAGTAATTCTTAAAAAAGGCTTGTAAAATGCGGAAATAGGCGTTAAAAAGGGTGTGAGTATATTACGAAGTTCCTCTTTAAGTTTTTTTTTTAAAAAAAATTGGGTGCTCTTGGGCGTCAGATCCATAGGCTATTACACACGAAAAATTGGGGAATTTGGATAATTTCTAAAAAAGGGCTTGTAAA